TACTAAGGAGTGTGCACCACTCACACAGCTGCCCATCCCACCCAGCCCCAACATACTAAGGAGTGTGCATGACTCACACGGCTGCCCACCCCACCCAGCCCCACATACTAACGAGTATGCACCACTCACGCAGCTGCCCACTCCACCAAGCCCCACCTACTAACAAGCGTGTCCCACTTGCACAGCTGTTTCCACTGGGACGTGTCTGCGCTTACACAACTGACATGGCTCCCAGGGAGAGAGATGAGCTCAGGGATCTGCTCAGATCCTCGGATCTCAACCACTGTCTCTTTGATCTCAGCAACACCCATCAGCACTTCTTCCTCTAAATTATGACCCACAGGAACTCCATTAGGAAGGTTGAGAACCACTGCTCTAAATGCTTCCAATACCAATTTGAGGGCGCACGTGGATTTAGCCCTGTACCCGCTTCACAAATCACAGCACAGCAGGCTGCAACACACCTTTCTAGACACACTGGGCTGATCACTGGTGAACACAGAGAAGAACGTTCTCATCTCGTTAGAGAAAAAGCTAACGTTCTCCAGTCATTCTCTCCACAGAACGCTTCTGCTGTTTTCCTTGCCTGGGACAGCAAGAGTGCCAGCGGTGAGACTCTGGCAGATGTCCGATTCTCAGAAATCAAACTCACAGTAAAGGCACCTTTGTGTCTCAGCAACTGAGTCACAAATGCTGCCACTGGATCCGCCTGTGGGTCTGTTTACACCTCAACAGGGGGAAGGATGGGGAAGGATGGAGACAGGAGGAGCAGGCAGCACCAGCAGCCGCTCAGGCCGTGCACAGCAAGGACCGGATGTGAGCTACACCCCAACGCAGTGACGCTGTGTGCCAGTGACACCGTGTCCTGGGGACCACGCAGACCCTGCGCTACACGTTTTGTTTTATGTGGGTCAACCGTCCTCATCTGGAGGGTGTGTCCGATCAGCGTACTGGGTAGGGCACTCCTGGAGATGCGCTCTCCCAGAGATGCGCTCTCCCAATAAGCCCTCACCAGGGCTCTGTGGCCGGCAGGTCTGGGTGAAGCTAGAACGCCAAGCCAAGCACAGTGAAAACTCCCCTGTGGTTCTACCTTCATGGAATGTGACATGTTCATTGCAAAGTCAGTGCAGAGGAGAAAGCACAGAAATGAGAAAGCGCCGATAAAGGACACTGACCAGGGACTTGCCCCCCAGAGGCTGAGCCTCCCACAGCAGTGGTGATGCCAGGTGTGCCAGGGGACTGCAGAGCCATGGCAGAGGCCCTGGACAGGCCTGGGTGGACAATGGGATGAGCGGGCATTCCCAGACAGTGGAGAAAGAATGCGCTGATAGCTCAGCACGTGATGCCGGGAATCTAACCACCTGGCACAACTACATGAGATTCAACACGAGTGGATTAAAAACCTAAATGCAAAAGCATAATAAAAGATTTGTATTTGTTTTGGTGTAAAGGTCTTAAGTCATAAAGCATAGAATGTTAAAGAAAAAGAATGACAGATACAGTAGGATAACAATTGTATAAGCCAATCAAAAACATGTACCAATTTTACAAAGCAACTTTAAAGCTGGTACAACACGTGAGACAGAGAGTTCACCCTGGGAATACGTGTGGACACAAGCTGCAGTTGCCCATGAACCAAGGACCAAACAATAACAAAAAATTACAAAACAGGCAGCTCACAAAAGAAACACCAACAATCAATGAACATGTGAAGAGTTTCACGCACTCTATTAATAATGGAAATGCAGATGACCCCAAAATCAGCCAGCCGGCCGGCAATCTGGAAAGACCAACCAAAGGCAAACAAGGGCCCGTTCTGACAAGGTGTGTGGACAGGGCACTCAGGGGCTCAAGGCGGGGATTTAAACAAAGGAAGATGTTTTTGGAAAGCAATTTGGCTGTACCTGTAAAAATTTTAAATATACATTTCTTTCAATTACTTTTTGGTATCACCCTATAGAAACACCGGCATTTGTACACAGAGATGAGGCACAAGGATGTTCAATCTTAACTAGTAACAAACTGTAAACCATCTAAACCCCACTGTGGTAGACTGTAGCCTAACAGCTCACTGTCTCTCTCTGTACCATGGAATCTAAGCTCAACATACCATCCAGGTGTCTTTACAGCTAAGTCTGTTCTTGCAGCCACTGGGACATGATCAGAAGTGCAATGTCCAAATTGTAAGTGCTGCTCTTGAGCTCACCTGTGCCATGCCACAGCAAGGGCTGAGGGGCACAGGGCCAGGGGATAGAAGAAGCTGGGGCCCCAAAGGCCCACATGGACACTTACATGGAGACACGTCAAAGTCTACTGTACAGTTTAAAATCCCCAAACAAGGTGGCCTAACCTATACCCTAAGACCGCCAACGTAAAGGAATCAACAGCACAGCCGCATCTAGACGTCCGATTATAGAAGTGCCCGTGACAAAGACAGGGTTGTTTGCATGCAGTGACAAGGGAGATATCAGAGGCTTATGACGCTTTTACAATATCTCAGACCTACAGTACCATGTACAACATGGGCTGCTA